CCATGCCAGACAAATTTTTAGTATTTTAGTAGAGATGGGGTTTCACCGGGTTGCCCAGGCTGGTCTTGAACTCCTGAGCTCAGGCAATCTGCCCGCCTTGGCCTCCCAGTGGTAGGATTCCAATGTATTTACTAATATATGTATATAATACACAATACATTTGTTTACTTTCAATTTCCCAGGCTAGGTCAAATTGCCCATGCATAGAACCACATAATACTGTGTCCTTTTTCTTCACAACTCATATTAGTTTGTGCCTTATTTGAAATTTATAAAAATTAGTGACTATCTTGTTTTTTTTCTTTCTTTTTTTTTTCTAGACTGAGTCTTGCTCTGTTGCCCAGGCTGGAGTGCAGTGGCATGATCTCTGCTTACTGCAACCTCCGCCTCCCAGCTTTAAGCAATTCTCCTGCCTCAGCCTCCCAAGTAGCTGGGATTACAGGCACCCACCATCATGCCCGGCTAATTTTTGTATTTTTGTAGAGATGGGGTTTCACCATGTTGGCCAGGCTGGTCTCAAACTCGTGACCTCAACTGATCTGCCCACCTTGGCCTCCCAAAGTGCTGGAATTACAGGCTTCAGCCACCACGCCTGGCATTAATGACTATCTTTTCTAATAGATTATATGTTTTGTGAGGGAGCACCGGGATCTGTTCTCTCACCATTACTTCCCCACAGAATACTAGCTGAATGAATGAATGAATGGATGGATGAACAGAACCAACCATATCGTAAGTTACTTTTGATGCCTTATTCATTCACTTATATTTATTGCAAGCCCATTACCTGCTATGAACCATTCTATGTGTTAAATATGAGGCTCCTTTCAATGTTGCTACATACATGATGTACCACATTTATTTAACCATTATACTCTTAATGGGCATTTGGGTTGTTTCCATTATTTTATTATTATAAACAATGTTTCAATGAACATCTTTATACAAATATCATTGATCCGCAAAGAGGTGTTTTGGTAGGATCCTTAGATGTGGAATTTTTTCTGCCAAAGGAAAAAATAATTTAAAATTTGGGCCAAATTGCCAAACTTTTCTCCAAAAAGTTTACAGTCACTTGTACTCCCAATAGTGACACTGCCTGTTTCTCTAGAGTATAATCAATCTTATACATTAAAAAATTTTCAACACTTGTAAAAGAAAAAAAATGGTATTTTATTTGTATTTGCATTTCTTTATTACTTGCTATCATATTTTTTCCAGTGAAATCTCTCAGGAGTTCACTTAAATTTGATGGAAAAAATACAAATTTCTTCATCATATGATCACAAAAGACATATAGTTGAAATGATTATGTAGAAGTATGAAGTATGGGAAAATACTTTAGCTTCAAGACAATCTGATGTGTTACTTAAAACCTCTGTAATGTTTAAGAGAATCTAACATATTTGAGAATGTCAGTTTTCCCTGTGGTTTCAATCTGAAATATGATTACAGACTGATGCTTTTACATTGAAAGGCATAAAAGAATTTAACTTTGTAGAGCACTGGACTATTTAAAACAACTTGATTTACCGTAGTTTAATTAATTCAATTTCCAAGAGTTGTTTTGGTGCTTAGAAGAGTGTGCTTATCTGCTCTGTTCTGCATTAGAAATGCTTAAGAAAATCAGGGGCCCAGGCATGGATTACAGGCTCACACTTGTAATCCTAACACTTTGGGAAGCCAAGGTGGGCAGATTGTTGGAGCCTAGGAGTTCAAGACCAGCCTGGGCAACATGGCGAAACCCTGTCTCTACAACAAATATAAAAATTAGCTGGGTTTGGTGGCACACGCCTGTAATCCCAGCTACTTGGGAGGCTTAGGTGGGAGGATCACCTGAGCCTGGGAGTTGAGGCTGTAGTAAGCCACAGTCACACCATTGCACTCCAGCCTGGGTGACAGCCTGTCTCAAAAAAATAAAAATTAAAAAAAAAATCTTTTTTAATCAGTTATATTAAATGTATAAATGTTTACAATCTTTTAATCACCAAAGCTTATAAATGGCATTAGGGGAATTTAATGTTATATGCATATTAAATGAACATTATGAACAAGTGAAAGTGG